CCTAAACGCGGCAGCCTCTGCAGCGCCGCCGGTAGGTCCTATGCTGGACCGGTACCGGCCTTGTGGCCGTTGGCCTGGGCCTCTACCCCTGGCCTGCCTAAACCGCCGTGGTCCTGGCCTATTCGGGCCTCATCTGAACCGTAGTCCCTTAGGCCTACCCTGCCTATTTGGAACCGGGCCTTAACTGGGGCCCGTGTGGCTCAGAATGCCACACACTCCCCCCCTTGAAGACAGAGCTAACTGCGAGGGTGAAGCTGTCTGTCCGATGTCCGTACGGGGCGGGCAGGTTGGGCAGCTTCCTAAGCAAGTCGCTGTTTTTCGTAATGCGCGAAGATGAGGGGTGCTGTCGCCTTCAGGTCAACAGCTCGTGAAATCCAGCGTGTGTCGTCAGGATCGCATTGCTTAAATGTAACTTTGTACTGCATTGGCTTGTTGCCATGCTTGAGATGCGTGAGAACGCGGTCGACCTCCTGGTGACCATCCATTGAAGGAGGGTCGTGTGACCGTCTGCCCGGGAAGTCCGCCGCGGAGGCTGGAGTGTAGACCGCCAGCTTTGAAGCGTGAAATATCGGGTGGACCGTCAAATGCGGGGGAATCTCGATAATGAAAGATGGACCCGCGGGGTCGTCGCCAGCTGCTGAAGTGACCTTCCATGGTCCAAACCACTTAGGGAGGAGCTTGCACGAGACGTGTTGCTCGAGCGCGAATTCCTTGGAGGTGACCCAAACCAGGTCGCCGGCATGAATTGGATATGGGATGCGACACCGGTTCGCTTGCTGCTGCATACGGACCTGAGCCTTTTGCATGTTTGCGCGGGCTTTGGCCAGCAGTTCCTTGTACTTCCGTGTAGAAGCGGGGGAGCAAGCGGCGTCGATATCGGCAGCCCGTGGAAGCAAAATGTCTGCGAAGATACGTCCTTTCCGTCCATCGTGATACAACTCGAATGGAGTCACGCCAATCACCGGGTGCACCGAAGTGTTGTAGGCGAACTTGATGTCGGGAAGGCGGTCAACCCAGTCCTTCTGATCCGGGCGGATGAGTGTGCGGAGCATCATCTGCGCAGTCTGGTGCGCACGTTCCGTTTGCCCATCCGTTTGAGGATGCCGTGCGAAACTCGGTTTCATGCTGGTGCCGGATTCCACCACGAGTGTCGTCCAAAAGGCTGACATGAAACGAGTATCGCAGTCGCTGACGATGTCTTTTGGAACGCCGTGGCTGCAAAACCAGCCAGTATGCAAAAGTCGTGCGAGCTCGGGATCTGTCGCATGATACTTGCATGGAAGAAATTGAGCGTACTTGCTCAAACGGTCAACGACCGTGAGAATACCATCATGGCCAAGGCGATCGCGAGGGAACGGACCGGTCACGTCCATAGCAATGGAAAGACCTGGTTCTCGAGGAATCGGCAACGGTTTCAGTTCGCCGTACGGGAGCTGATGGCGCCCTTTGTTTCGGTGGCAAACTGCACATGACTGAATGTACTGGTTGACGTCGCTGATGATGTCCGACCAGTGAAACCGCTGGCGGAGTCGTGCAAGTGTGCGTGCGACGCCAAGGTGTCCCGCCAGCCGCAAATCGTGGTATTCACCAAGGAGGCGAGTGCGCAAGATTGGGTATTGGGGAATACACAAAAAAGTCCTTGCCTCGTGAATGGAGAAGCAAGTAGCCGTCGACAATGTGATAATTGCTTGCCGGCGGGTGATCCGAATATAAGTCCGCATAGAGTGTGGAGAATCGCGGTTCCGACTTGTAGCCGTTTACGAAATGGTGTTGCAGGTTCTCATCGAGGCCGAATGTGGAGTGCACCAAGGTGCAAAGATCAGGTCTTCACGAGAGAGCATCCGCTGCCTTGTTCGAGGAGCCCGGTATATGCTTGGAGGTGAAGTCGAACTGGTCAATGAAGTACATCCATCGACCGGTCGTGTTGCTCGCCGTGTCTTGCGTCTTGTTAATAAGTCAACAGATTGTTGTCCGTTGCCCACGTGAATCGCCGACGCCCGAGGAGAAAGTGACGCCAACGCTCAAGTACGGTAACGAAAGCTAGCAATTCCTTCTTCCTCGCATCATCAAGAGTGTTGATGGGTGGCACCTTTTGGCTGAAGTACTCAACCGGATGCCAGTCTGTGCCGTCGTGCTGTTCCAAGACCAAGCCAAAGCCGTAGCCGGAAGCGTCCGTAGTCACTTTGGTAGGCAAGGTTGGGTCATAGATGCTTAAGACGGGAGCTTGGAGCAAAGCCGTCTTCAGCGTATGAAACGCATGTCGGGCCTCGTCGTTGATTTTGAAGGGCACCAAGGGGGACTGAAGTCGCGACAATTGTGCAGCGATCCGTTGAAACCCTTTGATGAAGCGCATGTAAGCCAAGAAAGGAGCGGACGTCGGTAGTACACTTGAGGTCTGGCCAATCTTGAATGGCTTGTACTTTGTTAGCGAGCGGACGAGTGCCTTGCGGCGTCACGTACTGGCCTAAGTACTCCAACTCTTGTTTGGCAAACTCGCACTTGTCGCGGTTCGCCTTGTACTTGGCGATACGGAGCCGCTCCAAAATGGCGCGAAGGTGCTCGAGGTGCTCCTCCAGCGTCCGACTATAAACCAAGATGTCATCAAGGTAAAGGAGGACGGTCCGGTCAAGCAAGTCGCGGAATTCCGTCGTCATAACTGCTTGGAAAGTAGTCGGGGCATTGGTGAGACCGAAAGGCATGACGATCCACTCAAAGTGCCCATATCGTGTCTTGAACGCGGTCTTGTACCTATCTCTTGGCTGGATCTCGATCTGGTGGTAGCCGGATTTTAGGTCAAGCGTTGAGCGGTACTTGGCGCCGCCTAGTCGCTCGAGAAGATCATCAATCCGAGGGAGAGGGCCGGCGTTCTTGATTGTTTGCGCGTTAAGTTTCCGATAGTCGATGCACAAACAAAGGTCCTTGTTCGTCTTCCGGACGAAGAGAACGGGAGCAACGTATGGCGAACAGCTAGGGCGAATCCAGCCCTTGGCCAAGAGGTCGTCTAGTTGTGCCCGAAGCACTTGAAGCTCCTCTTCGCTCATGCGGTAGATACATCCGCGCGGAGGTACGGCGTCGTCCTCGAGAGTGATCCCGTGGCGTATGGGCCGATCCGGTACTACTCCGGCGGGAGCTTGGAAGACATCCTCATAGCTGTCCAACAGCTCAATGATGCGTGGGTCCGACGTATCCTGGGCTCATCACCGGGTGGGAGGGTGTGAAGAAAACATTTTTCCATCTCCTCGATGTCGTTCCGCCCGATGGATTGGCGAATGCTCACCGTGGAGACCACGTGACAACCAATCGAAGGATGAGGAAGCGGCACCATACACGGGACTAATTCGCCACGCTGATCACAAACATGAACGGTGCGTCGATAGAAGTTCATCGGATGGTCTTTGCTTTGCAACCACGACATGCCTAAGATCATATCGAACTTAGTGTCCAATATGTCGAATGACACGGCCTCGCATGCTAACGAGGCAAAGTACACGAGCACCGAGTCAACATATCGGTCGATTGACTTTTGCGTGTGACCATCGGCCAATGTGACGTGCGTAGGCTGACTTTTCCTTCGAACGCGCGGGCCTAGCCCGACCCGCGCCATGAAGTCTTGGCTGATGTAGTTGCGAGTCGCTCCACAATCGATCAAGGCACTGCAGGTTGCCTTTCCGATCTGAATGCGGATGTAGAGGAGCGACGCGTCGATGTCGACGTACCGTTGCATTGCGTACTCGCGGTCGATCTTCGCTAGATAGTTACAAAGATCGCCAACCGCTACTCCGCCGTCCATCGACGGAGGTGGTACTGCAGCGTGCAAGCATTTGTGCAAATGTGCCATTAAGGCGTTGCAATGTGGAGTTGGCAATGAACCGGTGGAGGGAACAGGCAACCATTGGAAGTCCTCCACCATCAACGGGTCGAGTTCCTCAAGACTCGCCGAAAGTGACGGATCCTCGGATAGAAGGGCTGACGAAGCAACCCGTTCGTTGTCCGACGACGGAACTACCTCGCATGCGCTTGAATCTTGCACGTGGAGAGGCTGGTTCAACGGTGGGACCAGCTCGACAACATTGTTCGCAAAATTAATCGGAGAACTTGTGACTACCGCGGTGTCCCCGGACGTGTGAGAGACTGCTAGCAAGGCAGCCGAGTCCGGCGGACTGGGAAGTGCTATCACTGCACTTCCCGCGGTGCTCAGTTTCCCGAGCCCGGACGTTTGACATTTTCCTTGTCCTTGTCGAGGCAGGCGCCTGTGACGTGTTTGGTGCTGTTGTACCACAAACAACATCCCCATTTCTGTCTCAACTTGAACATGTCTTCGGTAATACCGAACTTCGTCCATGGTGACTGTCGTGCTCCATCCGCCGACGCTGGTTTCGCCTTGTGTTTTCCCCCTCGGGGTCTTGAGCGTTGCGGTGGTATCACTGCCGCCACATCTCCGTCACTTGATGTAGACGCGGCTGCTGGTCCTCACTAGGTCCTTGTTGGACTGCTGCTACTTGCGGCATCCGTTGACCTTTGCCTTTCTCCACATAACCGGGCTGTTGGCGGGCCCCGTTGGCCGCGCGCCGGTTACCTTGGATTAGTTCTCTTGCCTTTGAGATCATGTCATCAAAGGTCTCATACTGGAATTCGCTGCCAAGAGCAGCTGTCAAGGCATCGCATGACCGAGCGAAGAATTCGGCCCGGATTGCGTCGAACGGTAAGTTCAACTCCGGGGTGACGACGAGTCTTTGCCACTCCGTCAGCCACTCCCGTGAAGGTTGCTGGCCTTGAAACATGCGGAAGATCTTGTTCAAGGCATGACGCTTGTCGTTGTTGACCATGAACTGGGTCTTCCATTTCTTCTCGAATTCCTCCCACGTAATCTTGGTGTGGAGGGTAGCGATGGTGCATTCCAACGTGACAGCCATGTGGGTCATGAAAGCCTGCACCCCTCCAATGAGTTGGAGGTAGAGTGCGTCAAGCCGCCGTAGTTCTGGACTGTGATGTACATCCGCCTCCACGTTGAAAGCCATCCACCATTGCAGCGGATCAGTCTTGTGATAGTCATTGAACTTCTCGATCTTGAAGTTCGGCATCTTCCATTCCTTGGCGACAGCGGCCGGTCGTTGCTGAACGCGGTCGCTGAGCGTCTGCAGTTGATTGCTGACTGTTGATGCTCCAGCAAACTTGCTGATGTCGCCGAGGGAGGCGACCACGTGGTTGATCCGCTCCTCGAGTTGCTTGGCCTGCGCGGCCAAGGCTGGGCTGCAGTCTGCTACTGCGCTGCCCGCCGACGCAGCTGCCGACAGTCGTGTCAACCCCGTGCTGACATCGGACTGCAGCTGGTAGTTGATTGTCTGCTGCTGGCTGTTGGCGGCGTGTAGTGTGCTGATTTCGGCCTGCATGGTAGCGATCTTCTTGTCCAGCGCTTTAATCGTGGCGGATGAAGACCTGCCGCATGGCCAACAGTTCACGTTGCTGCCAATTGCACGTGTACAGCAGATTCTCCATCAAACTGCTGTGGCCTCCTTATTTCTCTCGTCCTCGGTCGGCTCCTCTTGTTCTTCGTTTGCTCGAAAATGCTGTTGTCGGAGTAACCTCCGGTACGTGGCTTCTTCGTTGGCGAGCTCCATTGTAGCTTGGTAACGAACTTGGTTTTGACTTGCCTCGACCTGCTGCTGTTGCAACCGTGCGGCTGCTGCAGCTTCTGCTGTGACCTGCTGACGTGCTTCCTCTGCCTCTGCCAGCTGGAGTTGAATTTCCTGCTGGCGGGCGGCTTCCTCCTCTTCCCACTTGCTCAGTTCGGCTGCCGTGGTCTCCGAGTAGAATTGGAGACGTTTGAGGAACGCTAGAAGCGGTTCATCGGCCTGCTGAACTGGGATAGGAGGGGTAACCGGCCTCTTGGGGCTGGCTTGTGCATTGACGTCGGTGGTAGCAGCCAGGTCGTGCGTCGCTTGCGCGGGACCCGAGGGGTCCTAGGTCCCAGTTGGGGCTTGGTTCCTGTGGATCCGCGCTCCGTAAGTCGTTGACTGCGGCGCATTAAGTACTCTGGTCTTCGTTTGCTGCTGAGGTGGCACCTGCTGATGTGGCACTGCTGAGGTGGCCGCTGCTGACTGGGCACTTGGCTGTTGTGGCACGCTGAGGTGGCACGTGGCTGATGTGACAATCTGCGTTCGTGGCCTGCTGCTGATGTGGCACAATGCTGACATGGCCAGAGACTGACGAGGGGTAACCGGCCTCTTGGGGCTGGCTTGTGCATTGACGTCGGTGGTAGCAGCCACGGTCATGCGTCGCTTGCACGGGATCCGAGGGGTCCTAGGTCCCAGTTGGGGCTTGGTTCCTGTGGATCCGTGCAAGTCGTTGACTGCAGCGCATTAAGTACTCTGGTCTTCGTCTGCTGCTGACGTGTCACTGCTGAGGTGGCACCTGCTGATGTGGCACTGCTGAGGTGGCCGCTGCTGACTGGGCGCTTGGCTGTCGTGGCACGCTGAGGTGGCACGCGGCTGATGTGGCGATCTGCGTTCATGGCCCGCTGCTGATGTGGCACAATGCTGACGTGGCCGGAGACTGACGTCCGTAATACCGAGAGGAGGAGAGAGAGAAGGTAGGGGTGGAGGAAGGGCAGAGAGGCAAACAATGCACAGACAGTCCCTTTCTCCCCTGACCTCGAATATTTGACACTAGTCAAAAAGAGAACAGAAGCCTTTGAAAATTTCGAATTTTGAGAAATTAAATAAATTTTTAATCGGAAAAATACGAATTAATAAAATTTAATTTTGGCAAAAGATTAAATATTTAATTAAAGAATATTTAAATTTGCAATAATTAATCTCGCAAAAGATTAAATATTTAATTAAAGAATATTTAAAATTTTAAATTTGCAATAATTAATTTTGTAAAAGGGCCTTTACCCGATATAGGCCTTAGGCCTTGTAAAAATAAAGCAGCACGGGCCTTGAAAAAGTAAAGCATTGTGAAAAGGTATCTCGCCAGAGCTCAGAAACGTGAAAGCAGGTCAAAGGTCAAGTTCTCTGTCAACAGGCATATCTAAAGCTAAGGCAAAGGGTATTGTCAAAAGACTTACCTGTTCACCAGGAGATGTGTATGTCATGTCTGTTTGGGTAAGAGTGTGTCTGTACGTGCAGGCAGTGTACCTGTTCGTGCAAAGTAAAGTGTCTGTTCAAGCAGAAAATGTGTCTGTTCGTTGAGAGTTGTGCCTGTCCGAAAATAAAGTCAATAGGCACAGTCCCAGTTCTGGTCTAAGTCTAGGGGTCAGTCCAGATCCAGACCTTCAAGTCCAAATTCAGGCCGGGAGGCCTCAGYMGCARTTKAACTTCATTGGGACTCTACTGGGACACATGCAATGCAGGGTCTGGGACAAAAGGAAGGCTGGTTTGAGCCAATGCAGACCCAGCAAGGAGTATAAAAGAGGCAGCCAGCCTCATTCCTTGCCAGATCTCCACTGGCATTTTATGCGTGGAAGTGCTGGTGCACTTGTGCGTTGAGCCAGTAGGAGCAGCGCTGGAAGGAGAAGATGCGCTGAGTGAAGGGAGAAGCCTGTATGCT